TACGTAGTGCCAGTGTTGAACCGGCTTCTAGACGAGTACATAAAATAAGATGGAGAAAGTTCTCAGATTCTCCAGCACACAAGTGCGGAATTTAATGATCAAGAACTACAAGAAAAGGCTGTACAAATAGAATCTTAAAATGACATTCCTCGTGTTACCAAGATCGTAACTATATGAAGTGGGAAGATGTGGGATCGAACCACATCTTTTTTTATTTTCACCGCAGGTGTAGATCATGGCATACAAAATACTTCTGGAGACAGAGAAGAAAAGAAACAATGACTGAGATTAGAGTGATCACGACAAAAGCTCACTGATGAATTTCAGTACAAAAATGAGCCGCAGACGTTAGAACGCATTGCTTCATTATGAAGGTAATGATCGAAATAGAAAGGAAAATAGTAAAAGGCTGACTCCAAACAAGCAAATATTTGAGTAGATGACAGACCAAAACCACGTAAGTTGATCCAAAGTTTAAAGTGGCCATAATAAGTCACAGTAAAGAGAACGGAACAAGTTATCAAAGTCGGGTAATTACCTCAGAACGGGTGTGAACAATTATATATGATGGTAACACTAAAATAATTTACTACGACTAAGAAGAGCAATGTTGGAGGATCGAGAGGGCTGTGCATGGGCGCCCACCTCCGACTTCTCCACTCCTTCCTGCACCAATGTAGTTACGAAGAGAGAATATAGTCACGAAGACAATAATGTGTTGGTTTGAAAAGAACTCTGGCCTGAATTATGCAGCGCTTTTGACAAAAAAAAAGAGCTACAAGAAATAAATGTTATCACACAACATTTAAAAAGGCGCCATTTGTTAAAACACATTCAACTGTTAATGTCAACTAACTTATTAAAACTTAACACTAAATATTGCGAACTTAGAAATACGAAAAACTACCGGGACTTACGCATTCACGCCTGCCACACACACACACACACACACACACACACACACACACACACACACACACACACACACACACCTAGACGAAGGGCAAAGAAGGCCGCAGACGGAGTACAGTCTAGGGGGTCAGAGACTACAAACCTCACTCAAGGAAAAAGATCTTGGGGTGAGTATAACACCAGGCACATCTCCTGAAGCGCACATCAACCAAATAACTGCTGCAGCATATGGGCGCCTAGCAAACCTCAGAACAGCATTCCGACATCTTAATAAGGAATCATTCAGGACCCTGTACACCGTGTACGTTAGGCCCATATTGGAGTATGCGGCACCAGTTTGGAACCCACACCTAGCCAAGCACGTGAAGAAACTAGAGAAAGTGCAAAGGTTTGCAACAAGACTAGTCCCAGAGCTAAGAGGTATGTCCTACGAGGAGAGGTTAAGGGAAATCAACCTGACGACACTGGAGGACAGGAGAGATAGGGGGGACATGATAACGACATACAAAATACTGAGAGGAATTGACAAGGTGGACAAAGACAGGATGTTCCAGAGATTGGACACAGTAACAAGGGGACACAGTTGGAAGCTGAAGACACAGATGAATCACAGGGATGTTAGGAAGTATTTCTTCAGCCACAGAGTAGTCAGTAAGTGGAATAGTTTGGGAAGCGATGTAGTGGAGGCAGGATCCATACATAGCTTTAAGCAGAGGTATGATAAATTTAGCTCACGGCTCAGGGAGAGTGACCTAGTAGCGATCAGTGAAGAGGCGGGGCCAGGAGCTCGGACTCGACCCCCGCAACCTCAACTAGGTGAGTACACACACACACACACACACACACACACACACACACACAAAACATGCCAAATGTGCCTATTACAAAATGGTAACTAATACAGACTTACCTCGAACCTGCTAGTGAAGTACTTGGTGACAAGGAAGGGATGGTAGTCGACCTGTCCACTAGCGACCACCTTCACCCTCCACCACCCTGGTTTGGGCAATGCTGGGGTCCTTAACTTCAGTTCCACTACACCTGCGGTGCCACAACAATGCACACTTTACTACACAACACAAGCACACCAACAGGAATGCAGTAAAAAAAATGTGTTGTGTGTAGGAACTCGCAAAATATTTCGGCTTGGTTTGACTTGTTGTGGCGGTGTTAGTGTTTTGTTTGTCGGGAAATTGTCTCCTTATGCTGGTCATTGTCATAGCGTGATCAGTGACGAAGCGTCTGTGGCGCACTGGAACTAGACTTTTCTCTTTCCATATAAAATATCACAGACAAAGCACATATGTATTAGAATCCTAGAATTATATAGACTGTTTAAAACTATTACTTAACATTATAGAGAAATGGATTTAATGTATCGTCGCGTAAACTGCAAGAAGACTTAGTACATGTCTGCAATCTTTTCACAATTAATTTTGTACTACACAAATGACATACGTAAGTTTATATGAATCTGCATGAATACTGTTAATTCCGCTTGAGAAATACATATTAAAATGCATGAAATGAAGAACGTGGGAGACACAAGGGTAGAGGAGCAAGGATGACTGACCTATATTGGGAAAGCGAGAGATCCAGCGACGCAACACGTAGCCCTCAGTGTCCTGCAACACAACACATCAACATTTGATTCATAACACAGTAGCAACTCAAAACTCATCACCATTTGATTCAAAATACATTAACACTTAATTAACAACACCGACACTGCCTCACGATAAAAAAAAAAAATGTGCTTCCACGAGTATCTCAAAACTTCCCTCACAATTCGTCTTAAAAATTGTCAGAGCTCTCTTGTCTGAACACAAAGATCACCTTCATCACTACAACACAGCGCATGTTTCAACACGAAAAATACTTACCCTGATTTGGAACTCATTTTTCTCATTCCACCATGCATGACTCCTATGAGTTTAGCGCTCTTCAATAATAATAATAAATAAATAACTGCTCACAACACCCACAACAAATGCGAGAAATAGTTCACAACTGGCATGTATTTAACCATCCGGGTCGCTCACAGGTGACTGTTTAGGCGACTTAATGAAAGCTCACCTGAGAGCGAAACGTTCTCCAAATAATGGCTTGCCCTGGTCCAGATTTCTTCTGTTGAGTAAGACACATGTGCAACAATTGGGTATCTGTCCTGTTGAAACGTTTTAGGCCTACACAGTAGGCTTCTTCAGTCAAATACAGAGGCAGCAGGTATAGTAGTGAAACAAAGATATAATCAGTCCATGAACCTTCGACAAATAGTATATGAGGTGATCTGTCCCTCAGCCTGGGAAAAGAGTGGTGACCACCACAAATACCATTTCTCCAAGGTTGATGGATTGATTATATCATCTTCATTTCACTACTACATCTGCTGCCTCTGTATCTGACTGAAGAAGCCTACCTACCGTGTAGGCGAAACGTTTCAACAATAAAGATACCCAACTATTGCACATGTGTCTTACTCATCAACTTGTCGGTATTTTATACCATTTTCAATATACATGTCTTCTCTCTCATATGCCCAATTGACATTTTAATGCATTTCAAATTATTGGAACCTCCTCTACATTAACTACTGTTGGCAACCAGTGTTTATTGTGAATCATATCCTTGTTTTTATTAAACAAAATTAAATTCATTAGCAATATGCTGCTACTCTTTATGATTGTTACATAATAAGAACAAAATTTAGCAGCGTCCCAGTCATATTCCATCACACAGAATGGGTTTTTTACATCCAGTGATGAAAACTGAAAGCATGTTTTGAGAGACCAGGAGGGCAATAAGGATATCATCAAGTATTTCACTATGTATTCCTTGGATAGGGCAGCTCTAGAGGTTCGGCATCTTGCTTGTCAACCCTCTATACAGATCACACACAGACTGCGAAGCGAATTTACAGAGAAATACTGAGTTAAAAAAACATTTGGGATATACTGTAAGTATTTACCAAATATCCTAAATTTGCTCGTAACAGATGAAATGTATTATATATATCCAACTGTACTCCTGTTAATCCTTTTAGGGTCCTATTGTTAGGCCTTATGTGTATCATGTTCTAGTGTTACTATCAACATGAGGCATCACACAGGTGGTGGTGGTCAAACCTAGCGTCACTACGGCAGTCGAACTTCAGCCAAAAGTCGGGGTTGACCCTCAGAAGAGATAAGCTTGTGAGAAGATCAGCACCATCGAGAATACTTGAATGAAGAAACCAGCTATGCATTAATGACTACCTAATTTCTATAGTACACGAGCACCAAAGACTGTCGCTTCTCCGCCACAGGGTGTACGACACCATCCACACCCACAGAGATAGAATCACAATGTCCCCAACATCTTGTTTACGGTATCTTCACATGTACATCACTGCTCATCCTTCGGGAGTCAGTGGCGGGTCATCATTTGATGAAAACTCATGTATGGAACACTGCTCCTGACCAACAATGTCATCCTCATATATGGGGCTCACAATAATAAAATGTAATATACTTAATATAGTAAAAAAAGGCGTTAAACCCATAGGGGATGGAAAATATACATGAAAGCTAAATTTTATCTTGCTTCAACTGCGCCAAAGTTAAAGAAAAAAAATACGTTGCCAATATTGTCCCACCTGTGCTTGTCTCTGAACGGCATGATGAAATGAATGTTTATTAGTGTGAATTTTCATTTATATTCCTGACATACTGCAATTTTATCCCAATTTTGGGGTTTAGGGTAAAAAAAAAAAAAGTCGTCATTGTGGTGATATTCTCTCGTTTCATGTTACGCACCAGATTATATTAAAAATATGTGCTAAACATGTATGGATTATATACAGAGCTGCGAGTAGCGTGCAGGGACTGGGGTTAGCGGACGTGGGTTCAGCACTAGAATCAAGTAACACCCCCCAGAGCCACCTAAATGCTAACCCAGTAATCCACTGATATTAGCTAGGGGTTTGCTTGTTTGATTTAATTTACAAAACACTAGAACCTTTTGGTAAGTCAGAGCTTTAAACATATTCCGTTTACAGCATCAAATTTACACCATAATCATCAATTTGCTGTTGTCGTGACTAATTCACTCACATTACATAAATCATAAAAGAAAAACATGTAAACCTATTTAGTATATTCCTCACATTCGGCGTTCCACATCCATAATTCGTTCGAGTCATCAGCTTGAAGTGTCAGCAAAGCTAGACGGAAGGGGAGATATCCCCATTAGTTATGTCGAAAGATGCTGGGTTCCTAATCAGATAAGCACCCTACAGGAGAGATCCCGGAGAAGAGCCCTTACTACTCAGAAGCTGCCACCAGGTTGTGGCCTAGTGTTGGGGATTTGGCGCCGGGGGGGAGGGTGAATACACAAGAGATGCTAAATTCGTTGGAAACAATATGCTCGTTAGGTACGGTGTGATGACGGGCTGCACATATAATTATGTGTATCACTAAGGCAACAAGTGGCAGGTTACTTCAGCGAGGTAAATAAACAGTCTAGCACTATCTTGTCTCACGTACCCTGCCTTCCTTACCCGTGTTAAAAAATCGTTTCACTTCTCGTTGCCAAGCGACGGCACCGTACGTATATTTAATGAATATTTCTGAATTTAACTGGAAATCTCTTATCTATATGCAATAAAAACATACTTTTTTTCTCGCGGGATATTGTTGATCGCCTATTATATAATCCAACAAACTATGCTTAGACAATCATAATTATACAAGTAAGAATTACTCTGTAACGAATCGTGAAACGCTGTATTTTAAGCTTGGAATAATAATCTCATAAAAATGTGTCACAGCTTAATCGTATTTTTTTCAGAAATTTAAAATGTTTGAACTTTTACTGTGCATGATAATAAACATGTTTCGAAATTGCTTTGGTATATTGGCTTACCTGCACATCAAGGAGCTTGTCACAGATTACTTCATTACTGACGGTATGTAGCTAGGCTGTTGAGCTCCAACTCCAGTATTAATGGTGACGTGGACGGTAGTTGGGGGAGATGGTGTACTCACCACAACGACAGGTGGAGACCGGGAACTTTTGAGTGTGAGCTGAGTAAGTGCACTACTTAGGTCGGGGGATCTAATCCCCGGTACGGCTGGAAAACTTAAGGACGTATTTCCATAGGACACCTGCTGTCCCTGTTCACCCATCAGTAAAATGGGTGCCTGGGTGTTAGTCGACTGGTGTGGGTCGCATCCTGAGACAAAATTTACATAATTTACCCGATATGCTCAGCATAACAAGGGGCTTTCTATATAGTAGTATGTCAGCTAAGCCTGTGTACCTTGTACATGTACTTGTAGAAATAAAGATATATTATTATTATTATTATTACTCAGCAAGACGTAAACGAGAGAGCGAATACTCACCAAGATGTGGATGAAGAGGGAGTACTCAACAAAGATAAATGGGGAGAGAGGGTATGCACTAAGCTAGAGCAGATGGTGTGCTCACCATAACAGACGGGGGAGGAGGTACTCACGAAAATACAGACAGGAAGAAAGGAACTACTTACCAAGATATACACGGTAAGAAAAGAAGGTACTTACCAAGATAAAGACATCTACAGGTCCCTGGTAAGGACTCAGGTCCCTCCTCAGCAGCACCACCCGCAGCTCAACTGTCAATAATACGACCAGTTAGGTCAGTAGCCTCGTCCCATCATGCCTTTCCCCAGAATTTTTCCTTTATTTATTATTATTATTATTATTATTATTATTATTATTATTATTATTATTATTATTATTATTATTATTATTATTATTTACCGTCATAGTAGCGCTAAGCCGGCAGGAATCATTCATCCACATAATATTCTTCCTCCACTATGATGTTTTTCGTATACTATCAATGATAATCCAGACAATGCTTATGTAACCATTTTTTTTTACGTCTGCCATTTTTAAGTTCTACATATTAAAAACATTTTTATTTACACGTTGTTTCCTCAAGATTAATGTTCGTGGAAGCAATTTCTAGAGATTGTTAAGAAAAGGCCCTGACGACCAGTTTGTTCATAGAGGAGAGTTAAGACAGGACAACAACGCCATAACGCCCTAATATCTTCATATTTGATATTCCTGTTATCATATGTTCCAAACTCACGTCTGTAAATCTTAGTTCAAACTGATCTATTGAGTCAAGAGTTAAGACGTACGTTATTTTAAGGTCATGGGACCATAAACATTTCTTTGGAATATCATAACTTGCATAACAATTATTATATAGCTATTAATATACATATTTGGATGCAGGAGAGTACAATATAACGACCTATTCTTCATTTTGATTTCCTGTTATCAATTTCCAAACTCAGACGTTTTTATTTAGTTTCTCTGTATCATTGATCACAACTACAACATTAAAGCAGGGACTATAAAATGATGCATTGAATTTCTACAAGGCACTACAATTAAAAGCTTTAAATATCAGCTTTTAGATACAGTAAGGTCTCCAAAATAAGGTATTTTTAGTACAGCTTTCTTCGGAATAAAAATAATCTTTCATACTAGGACTGACTGAATTTTTTGCATGAATCTACGCTCATTATGATCTGCGTGTGGGATAAATCATAATTGAATCCATCCATATAACGACTTCTGAACAGAATAGTTACAGTGAATCTGATAACATGAGACCTTCATAAAAACTTTTTTTGATATCCCATGCATGTATGATATGTGAATGGTTGAACTATCCAACAATAAGTACTGTCTGCCCTGTAGAAGTCAGCAGTCTGGACAGACGGTGAGAAAATCCATAAGGTGTGGACACGTGTTCGAGTTTGCAAACAAGAGCTAGATCATTATGCCCTCACACGTAGCGCGTACTCCTGGCAACAAATCCACTCGACCTGTAAACACCTAAGTACACTTTCATCTGTTAACCAACAGCTCAGTTACATCTGTTCCAACAACAAGCTCACTTTACATCTGAGTACCAAACAATTTCGTTTATCTGTACACACACTCACGTACATCTGTACCAACTAGCCAGCTTTACACTATACCAACACAAGCTCACGTTACATCTGTACCAACACAAGCTCAGTTTACATCTGACCAGACAAAGCTCAGTTACTCTGTACAACACAAGTACGTTTACATCTGTACCAACACAAGCTCAGTTTACCATCGACCAACAACTCACGTTACACTGTACAAACGCAGTCACGTTTCCATCGTACCAACACACTCATGTTACATCTGTACCAACACAAGCTCACGTTTACATCTGTACCAACACAAGCTCACGTTTACATCTGTTACCAACACAAGCTCACGTTTACATCTGTACCAACACAAGCTCACGTTTACATCTGTACAACACAAGCTCACGTTTACATCTGTACCAACACAAGCTCATGTTTACATCTGTACCAACACAAGCTCACGTTTACATCTGTACCAACACAAGCTCACGTTTACATCTGTACCAACACAAGCTCACGTTTACATCTGTACCAACACAAGCTCACGTTTACATCTGTACCAACACAAGCTCACGTTTACATCTGTACCAAACACAAGCTCACGTTTACATCTGTACAACACAAGCTCACTGTTTACATCTGTACCAACACAAGCTCATGTTTACATCTGTACCAACACAAGCTCACGTTTACATCTGTACCAACACAAGCTCACGTTTACATCTGTACCAACACAAGCTCACGTTTACATCTGTACAACACAAGCTCACGTTTACATCTGTACAACACAAGCTCACATTTACATCTGTACCAACACAAGCTCAGTTTACATCTGTACCAACACAAGCTCACGTTTACATCTGTACCAACACAAGCTCACGTTTACATCTGTACCAAACACAAGCTCACGTTTACATCTGTACCAACACAAGCTCACGTTTACATCTGTACCAACACAAGCTCACGTTTACATCTGTACCAACACAAGCTCACGTTTACATCTGTACCAACACAAGCTCACGTTTACATCTGTACCAACACAGCTCACGTTTACATCTGTACCAACACACGCTCACGTTTACATCTGTACCAACACAAGCTCACGTTTACATCTGTACCAACACAAGCTCATGTTTACATCTGTACCAACACAAGCTCACGTTTACATCTGTACCAACACAAGCTCACGTTTACATCTGTACCAACACAAGCTCACGTTTACATCTGTACCAACACAAGCTCACGTTTACATCTGTACCAACACAAGCTCACGTTTACATCTGTACCAACACAAGCTCACGTTTACATCTGTACCAACACAAGCTCACGTTTACATCTGTACCAACACAAGCTCACGTTTACATCTGTACCAACACAAGCTCACGTTTACATCTGTACCAACACAAGCTCACGTTTACATCTGTACAAACACAAGCTCACGTTTACATCTGTACCAACACAAGCTCATGTTTACATCTGTACCAACACAAGCTCACGTTTACATCTGTACCAACACAAGCTCACGTTTACATCTGTACCAACACAAGCTCACGTTTACATCTGTACAAACACAAGCTCACATTTACATCTGTACCAACACAAGCTCATGTTTACATCTGTACCAACACAAGCTCACGTTTACATCTGTACCAACACAAGCTCACGTTTACATCTGTACAAACACAAGCTCACGTTTACATCTGTACAAACACAAGCTCACGTTTACATCTGTACCAACACAAGCTCACGTTTACATCTGTACCAACACAAGCTCACGTTTACATCTGTACCAACACAAGCTCACGTTTACATCTGTACCAACACAAACTCACGTTTACATCTGTACCAACACAAGCTCACGTTTACATCTGTACCAACACACGCTCACGTTTACATCTGTACCAACACAAGCTCACGTTTACATCTGTACCAACACAAGCTCATGTTTACATCTGTACCAACACAAGCTCACGTTTACATCTGTACCAACACAAGCTCACGTTTACATCTGTACCAACACAAGCTCACGTTTACATCTGTACCAACACAAGCTCACGTTTACATCTGTACCAACACAAGCTCACGTTTACATCTGTACCAACACAAGCTCACGTTTACATCTGTACCAACACAAGCTCACGTTTACATCTGTACCAACACAAGCTCGTCTTTATGCTGACATTTTGTTTAAACAGAAATACATGTAATATGGGACTTTTCCACTTTAAACTTAGCTATATGCATACAGGTATAGGCTAAAATTAATATACTTTTAAAAAATTACTTTTCAATAATATATAATATACTTAAGACATTGAAATTAGCAATGTCATAAATGAAAGAGTAAATTAATTATTTGTAAATAATATTAATTTTATGACTGAATATATTTCGACAAAAGATAGGAAAAATGGTAACAAGTAATGATAGCAAGTCGTCTAAGAACATGGAACACACGCTATAAACTACCAACATTAACTTATTTAACATGAGTTTTGTATGCTTTCATTAGTAATGAAAATCTCGCTATCTTTCTCATCATCACTGTCCTGTTCTGAACTGGTGGCATCAGCCACGTTACTTGTACTGTTAACAGTAGTCATACAATTGTACTGGTAATACAGGACCACCACTCACCCGGAGTCATCGGTTTCGTACCCTACTGTACTTTCAGTCTTTTGAAGTTAATGCAAAGTCTGGCTAATTATTTTTTACCCTCTCCCTCAGGTGGGCTCTTAAACATGGATTTACCACTGACCTTCATGATGATGGCCTTCATTTCTCCCGGAGAGAGCAGGTCGTAGCCCTGGGCCACCTGTCCTAAGCCATGGGCGTGGGTGAGTGTGGCGTGTACACTCACCGGCCCTCGTGCCTCACCCAACACCCCCACCACTACTCCATACACAGAGTCCGGCCTCGCCAAAGTCGGAGCCACCACCAGGTACGACCTGAATGAGACATGAGCAATGGTCAGACTACTACTATAACCTCAGGTCATGCTGAGGGATGCGGGTGTCAGAGGTAGTATGTACATTATTATTATTACTACCACATTTATGGCGAGCGCTAAACCCGTAGGGTCATACAGCGCCTCTGAGGAAATTGGGAGGTATTCAAGCTTGATCCGAGGAAGGAAAACAGATGCAATTCCTTGAAAGGGTACAGTGTAGTAGTGGGTAGGATGGTAAGTTGTAGGAGTGAGGGAGGTGGAAAGTTCAGTAGTGTTATGGGATGTTTGGTTGAAGGGAGATGAGGCCTATTATTATTATTATTATTATTATTATTGGAAAGGGGAGAAAAGTTTTAATTCTTTGGATCAAAATCCCTTCATTAAAGCATTTTCTTCCCTTGCCTGTTGTTAATTCAGAAGCAGCGGGTCGACGAAACAAAAATTTGACAACCGTCCCTCCACCTCCACAATAAATTTAGCTACCCAAGTGTTGCACACCTGTGTATTATTCATCTGTCTACTAGGTAGATCCTTCTTAAACCTAATTTTTCTAACTCTTACATTTACCAATCAATGGTGGTAGCTTCGATCACTCTACTTAACAGATTGTTCACTCGTCTCTGGCACTGTTTCCAAACCAGTACTTTATTATTTCCTATCTAAAGCTTAAATCCATTGTTTCAAGTTATTTCTTAGTCAGATAACCTCAGCACAATATTTATATCGCCTTTATACCTGACTTCCATTTGTATTTCCATCGTGTCTTCTCTCATTCTGCGTCTTTTAATTAAGAGAGTGTAGTTTTAAGGTTCTCAGTCTATCGTCGTATAAAAGTTTTCTTACAAAATAGATTAATTTTGTCATCTTTCTCTGTATTTTCTTTAATGCATTTAGTATATCGATTCTGTTGCATGGAAACCAGAGCTGCTCCGCATGAACTAAGTGTGTAGAGTATATAATTCTTGAATCAACTACAGTTAAGTCTGCAGTTTAAAACAATACAACCATAGTCAGGTCCGTTCACTTTCAGTGTATATACACAAAGAATTTTATATTTTTCATTGTTTATACGCTGAAATATACGTGTGTGTGTGTGTGTGTGTGTGTGTACTCACCTAGTTGTGGTTGCAGGGATCGAGTCACAGCTCCTGGCCCCGCCTCTTCGCTGGCCGCTACTAGGTCACTCTTCCCGCTCCATTAGCTTTATCATACCGCTTCTTAAAGCTATATATGGATCCTGCCTCCACTACATCACTTCCCGGACTATTCCACATCCCGACAACTCTGTGACTGAAGAAATACTTCCTAATATTCCTGTGATTCATCTGTGTCTTCATCTTCCAACTGTGATACCCCTTGTTGTTGTGTCCCATCTCTGGAACATCCTGTCTCTGTCCACCTTGTCGATTCCTCACAGCATTTTGTATGTCGTTATCATATCCCCCTATCTTTCCTGTCCTCCAGTGTCGTCAGGTCGATTTCTCTTAACCTTTCCTCGTAGGACATACTCCTTAGCTCCGGGACCAGTCTAGTTGCAAACCTTTGCACTTTCGTGTGTGTGTGTGTGTGTGTGTGTGTGTGTTTGTACTCACCTAATTCTACTCGCCTAATTGTAGTTGCAGAGGTCGAGACTCAGCTCCTGGCCCCGCCTCTTCACCGAACGCTACTAGGTCCTCTCTCTCCCTGCTCTATGAGCTTTATCATACCTCGTCTTAAAGCTATGTATGGTTCCTGCCTCCAATACATCGCTCGTCAGACTGTTCCACTTCCTGACCACTCTATGACTGAAGAAATGCTTCCTAACATCCCTGTGACTCATCTGAGTCTTCAACTTCTAAGAGTGATCCCTTGTTTCTGTGTCCACTCTCTGGAACATCTTGTCTCTGTCCACCTTGTCTATTCCACGCAGTATTTTTTATGTCGTTGTCATGTCTCCCCTATCCCTCCTGTCCTCCAGTCTCGTCAGGCCGATTTCCCTCAACCTTTCTTCGTAGGACATTCCCCTTAGCTCTGGAACTAACCTTGTCGCAAACCTTTGCACTTTCTCTAATTTCTTAACGTGCTTGATCCGGTGTGGGTTCCAAACTGGTGCTGCATACACGTACACGGTGTACAGTGTCTTGAAAGATTCCTTACTTAGGTATCGGAATGCTAATCTCTGGTTTGCCAGGCGCCCATATGCTGCAGCGGTTATCTAGTTGATGTGTGCTTCCGGAGACGTGTTCGGTGTTATACTCACGGCAAGATCTTTCTCCTTGAGTGAGGTTTGCAGTTGTTGGCCACCTAGCCTATACTCTGTCTGCGGTCTTCTTTGCCCTTCTCAGATCTTCATGACTTTGCATTTGACAGGGTTGAATTCGAGAAGCCAGTTGCTGGATCACGTGTCCAGCCTGTCCAGGTCTCTTTGAAGGCCTGCCTGATACTCATCTGATTTAATTCTCCTCATTAACTTCACATCATCTGTGAACAGGGACACCTCTGAGTCAATCCTTCCATCATGTCATTCATATATACCAAAAATAGCACTGGTCCTAGGACCGACCCCTGTGGGACCCCGCTCGTCACAGGTGCCCACTGTGATACCTCATCACGTACCATGACTCGTTGTTGCCTCCCTGTCAGGTATTCTCTGATCCAATGAAGTGCCCTTCCCTTTATACGCGCCTGATCCTCTAGTTTCTGCACTAATCTCTCGTGAGGAACTGTGTCGAAGGTCTTGCAGTCCAAGAAAATGCAATCAGTCCACCCCCCTCTCTCGTCTCTTACTTCTGTTACTTTATCATAAAACTCCAGAAGGTTTGTGACACAGGATTTGCCTTCCATGAAACCGTGCTGGTTGTCATTTATACTTTTGTTCCGTTCCAGGTGTTCCACCACTCTCCTCCTCATAATCTTGTCCATGACTTTACATACTATACACGTCAGTAACACTGGTCTGTAATTTAGCGCCTCTTCTTTCTCCCTTTTTAAAAATGGGACTATATTTGCCGTCTTCCATACCTCAGGTAGTTGCCCAGTTTCAAGGGATGTGTTGAAGATCGTGGTTAATGGGACACTCAGCAATTCTGCTCCCTCTCTAAGGACCCACGGGGAGATGTTGTTTGGTCCCATTGCCTTTGAGGTATCAAGGCCACTTAGCAGCTTCTTCACCTCCTCCTCAGTTGTGTGTATGTCATCCAGCACTTGTTGGTGTATTCCCTGTTGGTGTTCCCCCCCTGTCCTGTCTTCCCAGAGTCCTTCCTGTCTCCACTGTGAATACTTCCTTAAATCTCTTGTTGAGCTCCTCACATACCTCTTGATCGTTTCTTGTGAGTTTCCCACCTTCTTTCCTCAGCCTGATCACCTCGTCTTTGACTGTTGTCTTTCTCCTAATGTGGCTATGCAGTAGTTTCGGGTCCGACTTGACTTTTGATGCTATGTCGTTTTCATACTGTCGCTGGGCCTCCCTCCTCATCTCTGCAAACTCGTTTCTTGCTCTTCGACTGATCTCCTTATTTTCCTGGGTCCTTTGCCTTCTGTACCTCTTCCATTCTCTAATGCACTTAGGTTTTGCCTCCCTACACCTTCGGGTAAACCAAGGACTCACTTTGGTTTTCCCATTAATTCTGTTGCCCTTGGGAACAAACCTTTCCTCTGCCTCCTTGCATTTTGTTGTTACATATTCCATCATTTCGTTTACTGACTTTCCTACCAGTTCTCTGTCCCACTGAACCTCCCGCAGGAAGTTCCTCATACTTGTATAGTCCCCCCCTTTTATAGTTTGGCTTTTACAAGTCGACTCCTGTTGCCCTCTCTACTTGCAGCTCTACTATGTAATCAAAACTCAGAACCACGTGATCGCTAGCTCCAAGGGGTTTCTCATATGTGATGTCCTCAATGTCTGAACTGCTCAGGGTGAACACAAGGTCCAGTCTTGCTGGTTCATCCTCCCCCCCCCTCTCTCTCTCTCTCTCTGGTAGTGTCCCTGACGTGTTGATGCATGAGATTTTCCAGTACCTCATCCATCATCTTGGCTCTCCATGTGTCAGGACCTCCGTGAGGCTCCAGGTTTTCCCAGTCGATCTCCCTATCGTTGAAATCACCCATAACCAGTAACTTTGCTCTGCACGATTGAGCTCTTCGTGCCACCTCAGCCAGTGTGTCCACCATCGCTCTGCTGTTCTCTTCATATTCCTCTCTTGGCCTCCTGCAGTTCTGTGGTGAATTATACATCACTGCAATGACTACCTTATGTTCCCCAGACTGAACTGTAGCTACTATGTAGTCCATTTCTCCACTCTCGCCCATACCTTCCATTTCCTCAAAACCCCATCGTTTTTTTATGAGCAGTGCAACCCCTCCTCCCCCTCTGCTCCTGTCTTTCCTCAGGATCTGATATCCCGGTGGGAAGACTGCATCTATTGTCTCAGTGAGTTTCGTTTCTGTGACTGCTATGATGTCTGGGGACTTCTCATTGATTCTTTCATGCCACTCGTATTTATTTGTTAATCCATCTGCATGCGTGTACCACACCTTTAACTTCTTATCTATCACAGTGGTCCTGGGAAAATATTGGGGTTGGGGGAACGGGAGCCCTGGAGGGGCCTATGGGGGTTTGCAGTGTGGGTGGGGTGTGTGATCGGGGTGAGGGCATATTGCCCATGGGGGGCTTCTGTAGGGGTGGGGTTTGTGATGTGCGGGTTTGCAGTGTGGGTGGGGTTTGTGATGGGGGGTGAGGGCAGAGTGCCCATGAGGGGCTGCTGTAGGGGTGGGGGCAGAGGAAACAGTGTGTGGGTTTTGGTTTAGATTGGTCAGTTCCTTTGTCTGCGGGTGTTTCTGTAAGGTGTGTTTGCCCTTCCACCTGAGTCTGGATTCTGCTCATCCTCATCAATGCATCTCGTTCCTCCTTTCGACTTTGCACCCTCTCTCTCAGTATCGTCCTTTCTTGTGTGTGTGTGTGTGTGTGTGTGTGTGTGGTGTGTGTGTGTGTGTGTGTGTGTGTGTGTGTGTGTGTGTGTG